CCAAACAGGCAGAGGACATAAAGGTTTTTATGAAAAAGGACAAAAGTAGGAGGACCCAAACAGATCTGGACAGACTTGGACCTAGTAAGATGGAATTTAACTGAGGTAAAGACTCAACACATAGGCTCTGACTGGTGTAGTTCTGTGGATTGAGTGCGGGCCTGGGAACCAAAGGATAAGTGTTCGATTCCCAGTCAGGGCACGTGCCTGGGTTGCAGGCCAGTTCCCAACACAGGACATGTGAGAGGCAACCATACATTGATATTTCTCTCCCTCTCTCCTTCCCTTCCCCTCTAAAGATAAATAAATAAAATCTTTTTTTAAAAAAAGACTTAACATACAGGTCCAAGAAATTAACTGCCCTTGTACCAGAGGAAGAAACGTGGTTTAACAGGACATTTGTGCAGGAAAGCTTGGTGTTTTGGTTGACTGTATGTTTGGAAGTGTCACTCTTTGGTAGAAAACGGCCAGATTTTTTTTAAAGGCAGCAAAACCAAACCCCAAACAAATCAATCTCATGCTGTGAGAACCACAGAACTACAGCACATCAGAGCCTAAAGGTTTCTTACAAAGCATCTCCTACCAGTTTAGACCTCGGGACGGAGAAAGGGATGGGTTTGTGTCTGGGTACCACCTCCTACAAGGATACTGACTGATGATGGGAGACAGCGCAGTGAGAAGCTAGTGACCACAAGAAGGAAATGAAAGGTGAAGACCAAAGACGTGAAAATTAGAGGAACCAAAGCTGACTCTAAATATTGAAACACAGGTTGCTGGGCCAAGGTCCTGATTCAGCATACCTGGTGCTCTAGGAATCTGCTTTTCATGGGTGCAAATTACCATAATAAGTTCCAGGAGGATGCTGATGCATCTGGCCCAGGGACCACACCGAGAACCACTGCTCTAAGAAAAAAAAATGATAGTTCCAAAAACTTGGAGTATATATATATATATATATATATATATATATATATTCTCCAAGTTTTTACCAAGACTCGGCCTATTTCCCAGGAAGTCCAATTTAGGAACAATTTATTGGTTTTAAAGCCCACACATTGGTATTTAAGTTTATGCTTGAAAGTTCTACCTTTGCTTTCTGACCCTTAGTGTTTCTTATTAGTTCAGCTTCGTAAAGCAGACTTCTGTTTCTGCTGCTGCTTCATTTTTCTGGCATTTTATATAACAGTTTCTCCCTGGTCTTCTTTCGCTTTTCCTATATTTTTCTATTATGTTCAGCAGAACAAGCTTCATTACACATTAAGATGTGACCTGCTTTTATCAAATGGTATCTGGCTGCCCACATCTTCTATAACAGTAAATATTGATCCAGGCCTTCCCCCAACGCCCACACTAAGCCCACGTGCCCAGGGGCCCATTAGGTTGTGAAGCAGCTGCATTTAATTCCTGATTAATTTTATTTGATCTTATGTATTTGAAGCATCAGACTTTAGGAAAATTACCAGCAGATGGAAATGCATATAAAATGACATGCAAAGCAATGCAAATTAATACAAACCATACATCTCTAAATTGCTTAGGATAAGTCTGATGCCTCGACACCAGTGCCTGCTTTGCTTCTCTGCACTCTGGCAAGCGATACCAGAGCCTTTCATTACAGTTAATTCTATACAGAACCCAGCATCTGACACTTGTTGACATGACAAGTAGAAGACACCTCTGTACACGAGTCAGACAAACTGGATCCTGGCCTTGGCTTTGCCACTGTTTGGCTCTATGGACTTGGGCAGGTTCTCAAAATTCTCTAGGTCTCAGATTCTACATCTGGAAGCGATGGGAACGACATCATCACAATAAATCCACCAGCGCTGAGGCTCCCTGGGCGCTCAACGTGTTCCAGGAACAGTGCACACACACACACTGTGCACACAGGACACACACACATATGAGGCACCCATGGTGTGTGCATGCACCCCTCACAAGAGCCTACAGGAAGGCACCACGCAGCGGGTACCTCTTAGGTGTGGTGCCATTTAAGAGACCAGGAAACCAAGACACAAAGGTCAGGAAACTTGTGCAAGGTCTTGAGCTAGCGAGTGGCAGGAAGGGCTGGAGCCAGGACCACAGCAGTGTCAGCCCAGGGGCCTCTCTCATTCCCACTGCAGCGCTTCTCTCCGATTTCCATCTCTGCTTTCCCTAATCATTCAATTCGTGTATCCACGAAGTAAAACTTCACATTTCAAAAGACTTTTGGTAAGATATTGGTAGTTAGTTATGAGAGTTTGATATCAAAATGCCAGCGCGATCAGATTTTTACCTAATACTTCAAGGGCGGGAGGGGCTGCGGATATCCTGTTTGCTCACCCTCTCCTTCCCATTCATTCATTCCATTTACAGACCAATAGGCCCTCTCATCTTTAAAAAGCCGGCCCCCGGTCCCACCTCTCATTCAAGGAGCAGCCTCCAGGGAAGTAAGTGCGCCTGCCCCCACCCCCACCACTGTGCGCACAGGAACACACCAGGCATTGCTCACTCCCTCTTACAGCTTCGGTGGAAGACCAGGGTGGTTTTCCCACTTCTCCCCATGAAGACAGGGGCTCTTTGCCAGGTCCACACCCTTTCCCCAACCCACCTCAGGATTCAAGTAACAGCCCAATACTAGTGACCTCCTAGCTCACTAGAGGGTAATCGTGGGCCTGATCTATCCAGATACTTACTACTATATTTTGTGTATAATAGGCTCCCATGTACAATGCACACCCACGTTGTTGGCCCAAACTTTCAGGGAAAAAAATCTTTCATTTGATTTTTTATTCAATTTTTTTTATTCAATTTTTATTTATATTTAGAAACAAAACTGACAATCATATTCCAGGGTATTATTTTACACACGGAGATCATAATTGCTTTCTAGAACTACACTTTAATTAAAAAAATAAAAGCGATAAAGATATTTATACAGATACAGAGTCAGTGCTACCCATGTATCATGAGCCTCCTTATTTTTCCCCCCAAAATTTTGGCAAAAACATGTACATTATACATGGCAAAGTATGGTAAGTATTTCTACTCAGGGGCCTAGAGAGCAGCTCAGACCTCACAAAACCAAACCTGTCTTTCCCCCAAATCTGCCCCCTCCACTGAAAATGGCTGAGCCATCCCCCCAAGCGCTCCCACTCCAGCTGGGTGGGAGTCACTCCGCACTCTCACACCCTACACAAAACTCCTCACGAGGACTCTCCGGGGTCCACCATGAGTCCACCCACGTGTGTTATCCCCACAGCCACTGCTCCGCCTGGACCACCAGGCCCCTCGCAGCCCCCAGCTAGCTCTGCCAACTTTAAGGGCTCCTCAAGTCCGTTCTCCACACAGTCCTTGGAGCTTTGTTTTGTTCTGAATTTAAACCTCATCAATATCCTTTCGGATGTGAAACAGTCCTGAGGATCAATTCCACAAAATGACCCAAAGACCTGGCATCATCTAGTCCTGGTACCTGCTGACCTCACCTGGTGCCATTCTCCCCTCAGGCCCTGCTGGACCCGGAACAATGCCTGTGCTCCCCTCCTCTGCCTTAGGGCACACCCTTCCTGAGGGGGGGGTGGACACACTCCCCCTTTCTCCTCCCTCTACCTAGTTTAGGCAGCTCCCAGTCATCCTTCAGGTTCCACCTTAAATCTCCCCAAGAAGGCCTCTTGCCCTCACCCCAGCGGTCTGTGCTCCCACAGCACCAAGTACGACCTGGCACACAGTAAGTGCTCAACAAGCCTGGGTTGATGAGGTGACTTTTCACGCTTGCATTTCATAATCTTACTACCTTCTTCCTGCTCCCAGCCTAAGAAGGAAATCCTGTAAAGCTGACCTAGTTTTACTTCCAGTCTGTGGTGCTATACTCAGCCCCAGGTCCCCAACCACGGTCCCAGCACTAGCAGCCCCACTAGTTGGTGACTTCCATGGAAAGAAAGCAGAAACTGGGTATTCTCTGGACGGTCTCTATCTGTCCCCGCTCCCATGACCAAGTTCATGCAAAGTTAGTTTCATAACTATTTCTTCTCTGCATATCCTGAGGACACTTAGCATGGTGCCATCAAGTGGCAACTTTGACTAATTGCCCGATTATACCATTCACCCCTATACACGATCTCTCTGCAGACTGTGTGGCATTTAGCAAGTAACTTTAGCAAGAGGTAGTATCTGCCTCTCAAAGGACCGAGTTCAAGTGAAAGCCTGGAGGGAACACTTCTTCCTCGCTCCCACAGGAAACACTTGCACGTCTTTCCCAGAACCATTCAGTGGCGCACAACCTGGTTCTCCCGGTGGCTATGCTGGCTATTGTTTCTCTGCAAATCCAAGTTCATTATGATTTGACAGCCTCTTAATTGGTCATTTCTCACAGAGAAATGGACCTTAGAATGTGCAGCATACAAACTGCTCTCCGCAATGCTTCACTTACTTCCTCAAAGATTTTACTTCCTCAAGGCACGATCCACAAACTGCCGGAAAGGACCGGACCGGCTCGGGAGTGTATTCGATAGGGGGTTGCCTAGTAAGGGCCGGTCTCTGCCCAGGTCAAAAGGAGCGACTTCTACGCCTGCCAAACCGCGCGAACACTTAAATCATCTACCCCGACCCCCTTAATATTCTGGTTTGTTGCTTTCCACTTTTGAGGATGAGAAGAGGAAAGGACACGCGCCCAAGGCTAAGCCCCCCCCCGCCCCCCAGCCTGGCTGCAGCGCCGCGCACAAGGTTCCCCAGCGACGACGACACGGAAAACCTCCCCCGGGTCGGAAAGGGTGGTTCTCGAATTAACAAAACAACACCGCCCACTCGCACCGCTAGTCCAAGTGAAGACGGTAAACGGACTCCCGAGTCCACACCTCTCGGCTCCGGGCCCGCGGGGAGAGGCCCCGCCGCAGCCACACTTGACCTTAGAAAGTGCGGAAGAACCGTCCCTGCGGAGGCCGCGGCGGGGCGGCCAGTGCCGCGGCCTCGGAAGCCCGAACTGTTATGAGACCCCCGCCCGCTACACACACACACCGCGTCCTATGGCGAAAGCGGAGGAAGCAGCCCCTTCCCGCACGCGCCGCCCCGGTCTCCCGCCTACTGGCCTCGGCCCCCCGGGGCCAGGACGCCCGAGTCTCGGGAGAGTGAGTCCGGAAAAACGGGCGTCGGGACCTCGTCCGCGGCTCCCCTCCCCTGGGCGGGTCCAGGTGGCCCTCGGCCAGGAAGGACCAGCACCGCGGGACCGGGCCGGGGAAGGGCGCCTCCCGGCAGCCACGTTCTCACCGCCGTGGGAGCCCCGGGAAGACCCCGGGACGCGCCAGAGACCCCGGGTCTCCCTGCCCCGAACCCGGGGTGCGGACCCGCACCTGCGTCTCCCAGGCCGCCCCCGTGGACACGTGCGGGCTGCCCCGCGCTCTGACCCAGCGCCGGCTTCAGGGAACTTTCCGGGGTCCGGCCGCGGCGCAGGGCCGCGAAGTTGCTGCGCACCGCGGAGTCGCCCGCCCAGCCCCGGGCTCCCACCTCCGCCTGCCGGGTGCCCGCGCCGGCCCCTGGGGACGCCCGCAGGCCGGCGGGCGCGGGTCCGGGCCCGGGCTCAGCCCCCAGTCTCCAGGCGACTCTCCCGGCCCACCCCACCCCCACCCTTTAGAGGCGCGCGGCGCCCAAGTTTTCTCCCGCGGGAAAGCGAGAGTCGAGAGGAGAAAGTCCGGGCGTCCGGGCTACCCAGCCCCTGGGGCAGGAGCTCCGCACCCGCCATCGCGGGACACCCCACACCTCGGGCCCCCGCGTCCCTCGCTGGCCTGCGGGGCCAAGTCTACTTACGAAAGGGGGCGGCGCAGCCCCGAACGCAAGGTCCCGGAGGCTGCAGAAGCCGCCCCTGTGGGGACCCAGAGCTGCGCTCCGGCCTCCCGGCCCCTCTGTGGCGGCGGCTTCCTCCCGCCTCCTCCTCCTCCTCCGCCACTTCGGCGGCGCGCCCTTCAAGGGAGTTGCTTTCCCTCGGCCGTGGGTGGGAGAGCGCCGAGCGGCCCCCGTGACGTGGAGGGGAAAGGAGGAGCGCCGCTGCCGCGCTCCCGCTGGGGGAGCTCGGGGCCCCTGCGCTCCGGGATCCCGGCTCCGCGCAAACTTCCCAGGCGCGCGGCGCGCTCTGCTCCGGCTTGGCCGCCACTGCCCTGAGTGTCATCCAGGTTCGTTCCCTGCCCGCGCTAGGCCCAAATCCCAGGTCTGGAGAGCTAAGTGACTTGCCTTAAGTCGCACAGACGGCGGTGACAAAGCAAACTCACATCTGCGTCTCCTGGCTTCCCTCTGAAGGCCAGCCTCCGAGAGGCTCCGGCTTTGCAGGACTCGCCCGCTCTCTTTGCTAAGATGCGGACGGTGCCCCACGCAGCCTGGAGACATGTCGTCTAGGAGCTGCGTGGGTAGGTGGAGCTTTATGTCCAATAAATAGTGTACAAAGTTGTTTTTCAGTCAGTCCCTACATGCTAAATAGAGACTGAAGCTTCTTCTTTAACCCCAAGCGGGGATGAGGGTGGCGAGCCCTGCGGGCGCGGTATCCGGTCCCAAGCCTGCGCACTCAAAAACCGCATGAAAGTAAGCACACACCTACTTAGCCAGTTGGGCAATACCTACGACCCTTCCTTTGTAGCGGGTTCTCGTGACTATGCTACCTTCAGGAAGTGGATGCTCCGCGTTGTGCTCGAAGTTCCCGCACTGGCAGGCGACCCCCGCAGCGCTCGCTTCCAGTCGGGACCTGAGCTCCCGGGGCCTGCCTCACGCGGCAGGGAGCGCACCAGAAAGGGCCTCATTCCTTCCTGGGCCAGTCACGGTGACCGAGGGCCTGCAGTGTGCCTGGGGGCCGGTTGGTGGGGAGTCGGATAGGACCGCGTAGAACCGGTTAGCAGCCCCGCGAGCGATCCCATACTTTTTGCTCTTAAGATCTAGAGCCTGTCCACAGTAATGAAGACTCAGAGACGACCCTGCCTTTTAAAAAGTTCCTTGTGCTCTGATGGAGCAAGTAACATCCATTTTTCAGGTTTATTTTCAAACAAATGGCTAGTTTTGCACTCCTCTTTTTCCCAGTAAGAACTCTTTTTGGATAGTCATTAAAGGTCACATAATTCCCTCCTGGTCTCCCTCATGCGCACATTGTGATGATGCTGATGATGATGACAACTGAGGTTTCTATTATCCATCTATGGTGCTGTTCTAAGCAATTTATGCAAATTAGCTGTTTCAATCCTGAGAGCATTAAGGAGGGAGGTGCCATGTCTATTCTGACTTTACAGATGAGGAGAAGGCAAGTGAGGCAAAATAATTTGCTATTAAGCGGCAGAGTCCGAGCTGGGAAGCAGGGGGTCTGTCCTGTTGTTCCTGGTGCTCACAACGGAGGAAATGGGGGCTTCGGGACTGGCATCCAAATGGCTCACCAGACATAATCAGCCCGGCTCACACAACGGAGCTGCCAGTTACCTCAGAAAGGGGTGCTATGAAATCCGCACACACAGTGCCGCCCCAATAGGCCCGTTTGAGTAGTTTGAATCGATCATACCGTAAAGTGGTTGTCCACTAGTCACTCACTTGCTCCACTATCTCCAACTCTCAGATCAAACCCTTTTGTCACAAATCAAACCGTTTCTCTGATGCGGCCTTAAAAACACCTTTAATATAAAACCTGTAATCTTTGTTTTGCATTGTTGTACACGCAGACCATACCTGGCTCTTTTTCTGTCCTGTCCATCTACTACTCTCAGTTAGTCCCTTCCCTTGAATCCTTGCTCTCATCAGCACTCCGGGGCTTCAGAAAGCAATTGCCCAAGGCTGGAGGGCGGCCCCAAAAGGCCTCTACTGAGCACTGCGGCGTGCTCAGCATTCCAGGGGATTACCATATTTTGCCGTGTATAATGCGCTGCTGTGCAAAATGCACACCACATTTTTGGCCCAGACTTTCAGGGGGGAAAAAATCTTTCATTTTAACTTTTTGATTCAATTATTTATTTACTTATATTTAGAAACAAAACCAATGATCACATTGCAGGGTATTATTTTACATACAAGTATTATTACTGCTTTCTAGAACTACATTTTTAACGCATAAGCATAAATCAAAGAATTAAAAACATTTATATAGATACAGAATTAGCACTACACATGTATAGTGAACATCCTTATTTTTCCCTCAAAAATGTGGGCAAAAAGTATGCATTATACATGGCAAAATACAGTAGTTTCCCAGGGCTGCTTTAACAAATTACCACAAACTGGGTGATTTGAAACAGCAGAAATGTATGCTGTCACAGTTCTGGAGGCCAGAGGCCTGAAATCAAGGTGTTGGCAGGGCTGTGCTTGTTGTGAAGGAAAGAATCCTCTGCCTCTTGTAGCTTCCGGTGGTTGCTGCCAGTCCTTGGCACCCTTGGCTTGCAGCTGCACCATTCCAATCTCTGCCTCCATCACTGTGTGGCCTTCTTTTCCTGTGTCTCCTCTGTGTCCAAGCTTCTCTCTTCTTTAAAGATACAAGGCATTGGGTTTATGGTCACTGTAATCCAGTATGACTTCACCTTAACTTGATTTCATATGCAAAAACATGAGTTATTGGGGGGTGGGGTGGGGATATGGTTCAACCCGCTACAGTGGCCCAAAGTCATCCACTGTTAATGAAAATGTATTGCTTGAGTTGAGAATGCAGAGAGATATAAATCACAGTCCCCTGTAACTATAGGGTCAAAGAAAGACCCTATAGTTACAGAGGTAGTCTCTGCACCCTGAGCATAACAAACCAACAAGATAGGACGTGCTAAGGGCCAACTGACTGGGCCAGTCGACAATTAAGGGGCCAAATGTCAGCCATGCTTGAGAAATTCAGCCAAGGTGACAGTCACTGAGGACCCACCTAAAGGACTTCACCTCAAAGGGAGGGTGATCCAAGCACATCCTTGAAGGAAAGTACGAAAAGTAAAGCTGAGGAAGGAGGTCATATCAAAAGCACAGCTCCAAGGGGGGACTTCCACTGCAGAAATGAAAAGCTGAAAGAGTACAAACGTCTACCATAGCAAATATTTTGGGTTGGCCAAAAAATTTGTTGTTTTTTTTTCTCCATAAGATGGCTCTAGTAGTGCTTAGTTGTCTTTAACTTCATTTGAAACAATTTTGTTAGGTTGTAAAAAAAACTCATCAAAATTGGTAAATTTTTGTGTAGCCATTTTAATATTGAAGATGGAAGAAAAGACACAACATTTTGAGCATATTATGGTTTATTATTCAAGAAAGGTAAAAACATGAACAACAATTTAAATAAATAAAAATAATTTAAAAGGGTAAAAATGCAACTGAAATACAAAAAAAGATTTCTGCAGTGTATGGAGAAGGTGCTGTGACTGATCAAATGTGTCAAAAGTGGTTTGTGAAGTTTCATGCTGGAGATTCTCACTGGCCCACACACCGTGGTCCTATAGATTGGGTGAAGTTGATAGCGATCAAATCAAATTGAGGCCAATCGATGTTTTACCATGTGGGAGACAGCTGACATACTCAAAATATCCAAGTCAATAAAGTTATTGGTGAAAATGAAAATTGTGTGTCTCTCTCTTTTTTAAAAGATTTTGTTTATTTATTTTTAGAGAGGAAAGGAAGGAGAGAAACATCAATGTATGGTTGCCTCTCATGCATCCCCTGCTGGGAACTGGCCTGCAACCCAGGCATGTGCCGACTGGAAATCGAACTGCGATCTTTTGGTTCGCAGGCCCACACTCAGTCCACTGAGCTACACCAGCCAGGGTGAAAAATATGTCTCTTATTTTATGGGAAAAAGCATACAGTCTTTTTGACCAACCCGATAAAAATACAATCGATTACTTTAGCTATAATAACAGTATATGGTAAAGTCATAGCAATTAGCATGCTTTAGAAAGTGCTCTCTTCTTTAATTAATTTGGTCTTTGTGAAAATCCTGAGTGTCATCAGAGAAAGGAATATAGTATTTAATAACTGAGGACCCTGGGGCTCAAAGGGATCAAGAAACTTGCCCAGGTCAAACAGCAAACCAGCTGTAGAACTGGTGGGAAACACACTGGTCTTGATATTCCTTATTCAGTAATTTTCCCACCAAATGACGTGGCCTCCTGGGTCAGCCTTCCAGTACTGATCATGTTGTCCTGGCCCAAGGAAAACATGTGGCAAACAGGGTAACCCTGTAAGAAAAGGAAAGCTTCCCTAAAATCCATGAGACTCCCCAACTGGAGCTGTGGTAAACCATGTCTGGACACCTAATTGGTTTCACCAACCTTTTCAAGGATTTTCAAGTGTACGGAAGGTCTTCTCTGGCCTTCAGAGACATCATAGGACCCAGTGGCCTTCTGCAGTGCTCAGCTGGTTATCTTAAGGAGATGAGGGTTGAAGGCACACAGAGACATTGGTAAGAACTTGAGGGGAAACTGACTGCAAAAGACAAGAAATTACATCACAAGACAGTAAGCAGCAGAAACTAACAGTTGAAGCTTGGTGTCTAATCTCACCAGTGTGGAGTCACGCACAGATGACCAGATCTTGGCATGCTTTCTGAATTTTCTGATTAGAGCTGGTAACTATGGCTAGCAGCTGGAAGCAAACAGGAAGTCTAGCCTGGGGCTGTCTAATGACTGAATGCGTTTCCCTGGATTTTCTTTTACTTAGCATGCTCCGTAGTCAAGGTACATTTAAGGAGGAATTGCTTTCGTGTCTAGTGTTAGTCACCAGATTCTCACTTGTGCAGAGTGCTACACTGGTTGCTATGGGAGAATACAAAATATAAAAGACAGCCCGTGACCATGAAGATAATCGCATCTAATTTAGGAGACGCAAGACATATAGATTAGAAATGATGTGCATGGGCCTGCAGTGGAATTCCTAAGCAGTTTGTTATCCCCCAGTTGGCTATTTAGATGCGAAGTCTCAAAACCAGGCCCTCCCCGCTCCCCTCTTCAAAACCATAGCCTGCCCACCTCCATAGCACCTTTTAGCCGTTCGTCCTGATAGGTGGTCATTCTGACATTTATCACTATCTGAA